GGATTGGCCAAGTGGCAGCATCAGTGGGCTCAAGCGTGGCAACAATTGTGAGGTTCGCCCAGGACCGGGCAGTGTTTTGTTCTATTGTGTCCGTACTGACTCAATGGCACTTAACAACAACAACAACTGTGAGTAACTTTGAATTAGAATGCAGTTTTGCAGATGGTCACCCCTCAGAATAGTCAGTCATTCAGTCCTCTTTTTAGTTGCCTTTCTGAAATGCTCCAACTTTCTGTCCCTTACCCTTCCAGTCCCTTGCTGGGGGCTTTGTACCCTGTTCAGCCTTTGGCCACCACATCCCCACACTGTCTGCCATTCCTCAGCAAGCACAGAGAAGGAAGTTGAAGAATATACCTAATTTTTAAAAAAATTCCTTTTATTGTAAATTAGGTGAAGATTTATAGTGCAGATCCTCAGTTTTACATTCTAAAAAGCATGTCTCCTCAATGTAACAAATGTAGCCCACTTCCTCCTTGAGTTTTTTGTTTCTATTCCTTTTTCCAGTCTTCTGAATTTTGTTCTTAGGTAAATGTTGCCCTTTTGATCTTTCATGGCTGGTAACTGTATGGTGTGTAGACCTCACTAGTGGTGTTGTCCTCCTTTGTACTTGTTTATTGGTTGGCTAAGAGTTGAGCCATGGGAATGAGTTCCAGAGTTGAATGGGTGGCTAAGGACCCCAGTCTTGGGGTTCCTCCAGTCTCTGTCTGACTAGTATGCCTGGTCTTTTTTTTTCATGATTTTGAAATTTGTTCCACATTTTTTCCCAATCTATGTAGTACCTTGTAATGTGATTCCTTTCAGAGCAGTTGGTCATGGTAGCTGGGCACTATCTGCTTCTGATTTCAGGGTTGTGGGCCTGATGTTCATATGTTCCATTAGTCCATTGGACTATTTGTTTCCAGGTAACTTCAATTTTCAGCACTCGTCTTTCCTCCAAAGTCGTATGTAGAATAAAGTCTGTGTAGACAACATTATGCCATTGGACTATAGTGGCCCCTGCGACTATGGGCTTGAGTCCCTAGGTGCAGCAACTCATTCCCTCGGGGTATTTGGTAATATTTAAGAAATTATCATAATTTTGCCTCCTGTATACATCATGTTAAGGAGCTCTGGTAGTATAGTGGCTGCTAACCTCAAGGTCGACAGTTCAAAACTACCAGTGGTTCCGTGGGAGAAAGATGAGGCATTCTGCTCCCGTAAAGATTTACAGCTTCGGAAACCCTGTGCAGGGTCACTAGGACTCGGAACCGACTCCGTGGTCCTTAACAACAACAACAACAACAACAACAACATACTTCATGTGGGAGTCTAAGTGTGGTGCTGTGGATTCATGCATCAAACTGAATAGTTGTTTGAACTGTAATGTTGGTGGTTCAAGCTCACCAGTTGCTCCTTGGAAACCCTATACAGTGTCGCTATGGGTTGGAATCTACTTGATGGCACTTAACAACACAACATACTTCATGTTGGAGTCCTGGTGTGGTATTGTAGGATAAGCACAGGACCGCAAGGTCAGTTTGAACCACACGGTCTCCGTGGAAACCCTATACTGGGTCACTGTGAGTCAAAACTGTCTCGACAGCACTTAACAACAACAACAGGAACAATACTTGACATTCATGGATTTGTTTGCAGCACAGTTAAAGCATAGTTCTACTTAAAAAATTTTTTGTTATTGCTGCAAAATGTAAATTTACAGATTTTCTTCTTCTTTTTTTTCTTTCCCTTTTAAGATTTAATTATATCATACTTTTGGAGTCCCTGGGTAGTACAGTTTTAAGTGTTCATCTAGTAATCAAAACATTGGCAGTTTAAATTCCTCCATAGGTGCCTTGGAAGAAATGCCTGGCAGTTTTTTTTAAAGATTATATTCACCGAAAACTCTATGGAACACACACAGTCCTACTCTGAAACACATAGGATTACCAAGAGTTGAAATTTATATGATGGCAACTGGTTTTAGTATACTTTCATGTTGAATTATATACATATAAATAATTTCTCTTCATCTTTAGGGTTCTCCAAAGAAGGTGGAATCCTTTGCATCTATGCTGAGACACTCGCCTCTTACACAGATGGGACCTGCCAAGGATAAACTGGTCATTGGACGAATCATTCATATTGTGGAAAATGATCTTTACATAGATTTTGGTGGCAAGTTTCATTGTGTATGCAGAAGACCAGAAGTGGATGGAGAGTAAGTAAAATCATTTCTAAGTGCTTCAGAGTCTTCAGAAAAATTAAGATATCTCAAAGATGCTATTAGTGGATTTAGGTGATTTGAAAAAAAAAAAAAAAAAATCATTGTGCTAAAAATACATCATAAATAACATATAAGAAGTCTTGGTGTGGTGTTATAGGATAAGCACTGGACTGCTAACTGCAAGGTTGGTGGTTAAAAGCAACCAGGTGCTGCTTAAAAACCCTGTACAGTGTCATTATGATTCCAAACCAACTTGATGACAACAATATATAACATAAAATTTACAGTTTTAACCATATGTGAGTGTACATTTACGTGACATTGATTACAGTCCCAAACATAAATTGGAGTCCTGGTGTGGAACTGTAAGGTAAACATTGGACTGCTTACCACAAGGTCAGTAGTTCAAACCTACCAGCTGCTACTTGGAAATCCTGTACAGGGTCTCTATGAGTTGGAACCAACTTGATGACACTTAGCTACAACAACAAAACAGAAATTCAGTGCCCACTAAGTAATAATTCTCTATTCACTTGAGCTCCTGTTTTGTGGTAATCACTAATACTTTAGTAATCACTAAACATTAGAGTCCTGATGTGGCACTGTAGGATAAACACTGGACTGTTAATCACATGTTTGTCAGTACAAGCCCTCCATTGCTCCTTGGAAACCCTATACAGGAGTCGACTCATAGGGACTTACGTCAGTCTCAGTGATTCAGCCTGTAATTCTATTGTTTCAGTTCTACTTCTTTGCCCTTTGAGTGAGTGTATTATCTATTTCTGAAGTCTTAGCATTAGACTTCTGGCTAATTGCTGTTTTTGTATGGTCCCCATTTTTTTCCCCCCATTTATTTTGTTGGTTTCCTGAGAATTCTCTAGTTTTGTCTGTTTTCCTTGACTTCATCTGCAGTTCAATCCATGGATGGTATCTACGCAGCATTCTTTTAAGTTTCTTTTTAAGTAGTTCTGATTCTTACATTTTATTTTCTGATTCTGTATTTTGGTCACTTATTTGAGGCACTCTATCTTGCTTCTTCATGTAAGCTGAAATTGTCTGTTTTCTCTGAGACATTGTGGTGTTGTATGTTTCATTAATGATTGTGTGTTGGTGTGTTCTCAGCCATGCACTGGCTGCCTCCTGGTGGATATTGAAGAGTGAACACGGTTTTCTGTTATGTTTATGCAGCACAATACATGGCGGGCTCACGCACCACCAGAACTAGGGACGCTGTGCCTGATGTCCAACCCAGGGCAGAGTAGAGGCTGCATAGGAGAGGGTGCCACTCGCTGCTGGGTTGTTAAGGGCAGGGACTGGTCACACCACCAGCTTCCTGCGTGCCAATGTAATGCTGTAATGTGACAGTTAAGTGATGATTCCCCATGACATGCTTGGATGTGATAAATAAGAAGATTGAAGATGGGCTGCAACACTATTAATCCCATCACAACCCTGATCCAGTCAGTGTATGGGAGTTACCAGGGGTGGCCTACAACATCTTTCATTGTACAAAGATAAAAGGAGAGAGAGACATGAGCAGAAAAATAGGACCTATTACCACCAAGAAAGAAGAGCCAGGAGTGAAGTAAAGTCCCTTTGGAGCTGGGGTCCCTGCACTGTGAAGCTCCTAGGTCCAGGGACAGATTGATGCTAAGACACATGGAGAACTCCAAGGAATGCTGGGCCTACAGCTGCTGAGAGGAGACAAGTACCTTTCCCTAGATCTGGGACGCTGAATTCCGCCTTCTAGCCTTCCAGACGGGGAGAGAATACATTTCTGTCTGTTCAAGTCACCCATTTGTGCTATTTCTGTTATAGCAGTACTAGAGAACTAAGACAAGGGGCAAGTTTAGAATGCTGTTTGATTTCAAACATGACTGACTAGGTAAATAGCTGTATTTAAGAGGTGAAGAACACTGATACACTACATTGATCTTTTGCCTCCTTTCAAAATCAAAAATTGAAATGCCCAGATTTAGATCAGTTTGAGCCTCTCATTCCCATTCAAAATCATGATATTTTGGACAGTATCAGTAAAGGAGCATTTTTATTTTTGCTGAAATCTAAAATTTCTGTGGTTAAACCATGCTTATCATTTTGGCTAAAGAGCCAAATTTTCCAAATATTTTCATTTCATTAAGTTGTGTTTTAAGTTTTTCAAAAGTTGTAAAAAATTTCTGTAACATCCCCCCAAATTCAGTTTTACAAGCAAGGTCCATTTATTTATTGACATTTTAATGAGGAGTGCGTCTTTTAAAGCATTGTTTCTACCCTTGGATCTTTATCACAACAGACATGATTGGCAGCTCTGAAAAGCCAAGAGTTTCAAAACAAGCATGATTGGCAGCTCTAAGGTAACTAATATGTGTGCTGAATATTATTTGTACTTTTGTTTGACACTAGGTGGAATAAACAAGCTAATTTCCCAGTCTTTGTTTCTATTTCTGGTTGTATGATATATAGGGTCAACTAAAGAGTGAAGTATATATTGAATATTTTTTTAAAAACTCAAGTTTCCAGTGTGTATTGGTGGGGGAAAAGAGAAGATAAGAATTTAAATTAGTTTTTTGTTTTTTTTAATGCTAGGGACTATTATACACAATTAGAAGGTATAGGTATGCGTGTTTTGAAATAGATTGACAATTTAAACATTCATTTTTAAAAACATGTATCTCTAGTTATTTTTTAGGGTAAAAGTGTATACGTTATATTTAACTTTTTAATGGCAAGTCTTAAGGATATGTATAAAATATGATCTAATAAGTATTCAAAATCCATGAAACACATGAATTCAGACTTCAAATAATATTAGTGGCTTGTTTTGTTTTTCTTGTTTGGATATATGGCATATCAAAGTTCTCTTGAATTTGTTTGTTCTATTGGATTCTGTTTTGGTTTGTGTAAAAAATTTGCTTTGTGTAGCATTTGCTTTGTGTAGCATTTTCACATATGAACAGCAATGTCAGCCTAGAGATTGTCTAAATTTATAATTTTGCCTTGAGTTAATTCCCAGAATTGTAAAGGTCAAAAGTGAATCTGGAAATTACTATGGTGACTGCTTGTTAAGGCATTCAAGCAATTAAGTGTTCCCAGAAAATCTTTGAAGTTAATTTCCTAATAGGATGAAGAGGAGAAAAAGTCAAGCCTACACTCCTACAATTGGTTCAGTCTGTAGTTATATTGACTTAAGAGTTGATTTTAGAATGACAAGCTATCTTAACAGAAGGTCTGAGTTCTATTTTAGTATATAAAATTTTGTATTAATCTAGATTGCCACTTGATAAAAAATTCTCGAGACTATCAGGGAACTGGAATTTTAGCATGCATCTTATAATTTGTGATGAATTGTAAGAACGGAAATAGTTAAGATTTGTTGAGGACTTTCTTTGTACTAGCCATTCTGTTGAACAAATTTATATGTATTATTATTTTTTTTTACTTTGAGGTAAATGATTTTAGATTCCTTGTTAAAAAACAGAAGAAACTGACGCTTACAGAAATTTGGAGTATGCAGGATAAGCACTGGATTGCAAAGTTGGTTAGAACTGCAAGGTCGCTGGTTGAACTCCACCATTCCCTCCTTGGAAACCGTATTCAGGGTCACTGTGATTCGGAAACCACTTGACAGTGCTTAACCACAATCCCGAAAGAGTGGACTTTAGTTCCCTGTCTACCCACAGAATTGTTCAAACAAGGCAAACACATCTTCTCATGACCAACAGGCTTTATAGTAACAGGACGGGGTGTTACCCCGTCCTGTTACTATAAAGCCTGTTGGTCAATGGCACTTAACAACAACAACCCAAGACCAACAATTAGTAAACAAGCACACTTAAGGCAGTGTAGCTCAGAGTTCATGTTTACTCACCACTTGATTCTATTCATGTACATCTCTTGTATTTACGTTGTGGATTTCTTTAGTGTGTGTGGTTAGTGATTTGTTAATTTTCTCAGTGAACATTTATTGAATAACTTCATTATGGTAGTGTTTAATACAGTCTAGAAGAGCTAGACTGGCATCTTTGGGATGAAAGATGCATAGCACAGTAACAGAGGAACATATGAATAGACACCTAAATGAATGATGTCGTCAAGTGTAGACATACTCCAATAGTGAGTTAGAGGAATGAAATCGGGAATAGTTTCAAAACAAACAAAAATGCATCTCATAGGAGATGGAACTATTGTATAGATTCTGGCATCTCATAGGAGAAGGAACTTTGTATAGATTCTGAAGGATGCTGTGAGGGGTGTTGGAATCTGAATAATGAGAGCATTAAGTGTGAGGGAAACAGCATATAAATGACATAGGATTGAGAATAACCTGGATGTGATTACATTATTATCTCACATTGTTTCTGAGAGTCAGTCTAGTACTGTGAATTTACTTGATTTGGTTTTTTTTATCCAAAGTCATCTTAACTCCCACAAAATGATTAGGTGGTGCCATGTAAATAGGGTGTACGGGACTCGAAGGCTAGGATTGGTTAGTTTTGCCACCCTGCTAGGCTTAAAAGGAGCAATCTCAGAAGCAGGAACAGATGATCCCAGGACCATAAAGGAAGAAGAGCTGTGAGCAGAACGTGAGATCACTACCTGGAAAAAGCATCGGCAGCAGTGGCATGCTCTGAGAGACTGAGCAGCTGTGGGTTTTTCTGGCCCTGGACCGAGTAAAACCAAGTGCCTATGGGCAGGAGGCTGGTTTGCAGAATGTGTACTTTGAGCAGTCAGAGACTGGATAAAGGAGCTTTGAACCACTGACTGAGCATGGCAGAGGCCAAGGGACCACGTGGCTGAGGCTGAAGTTAAGAGTGAGACATGCCTGCAGTACAGCACACTGGGGAGCTATTGCATCCTGAATTGTTTCTGCTCTTAAACTGTATCCTGTTCACTTCTCTAATAAACTCCTTAGTCGGGAGTCTTGTCTATGAGTTCTGTGTGGCCACTGCAATAGATTATTAAACAGAGAGATGATTGGTTTCAGAATAGGGCAAAGGA